CACACACACACACACACACACACACACACACACATAATGCCTTGTCTTTGTAACCATTGGGGGGTTTTACGGTGGGAGGTACTTGTGTTGTGTTGTATTGTGTACTGTAACTATCATAGGAATAAATAGCTGCGAGGGAAGCTACTCTTTGAAGGATTTGGGCTAGAGACAGGTGAGGAGCTGGTTCTGACCAAACTTCCCTTGTTAGCGGGTAAAAAGCCGGTTGAAGATGTTCTGTCTTGTTTTCCGTTCTTCATGAGGAATAAGTCTCTAAACTAGCGGGGCATGTGAAAACACAGACCCAACATATGTGTGTGTGTGTGTGTGTGTGTGTGTGTGTGTGTGTGTAGGTATGTGTGTCATGCTCTGATGACACCAGTATATAAGCCTGAGGCAGACAGACAGACGGGCGGGTGGTATGAGCATTCTGATGTCATCAGACAACACTCAGAATGAATCTAAATCCAATATTGATGAGAATATCAGAGAAGACCATTATCACCCAGCAGACGTGTGAACACACACAAAGACACACACACACTGAAAGTGTTTTCCTGTCCCATGTATCATCTGGGGACGTAGTCGTCCTTGGTCTGTCAGAGTAATGACAGAGGGTGGGCGGAGCTTTAGTGATGTCACATCGTTACCCTCATTTTGGGCCCAATAACAAACATACGAGTGAAACCTGCACTAACTGCCACACACTGATCATGATTTCCTCCTTTAAAAGGACTTGTGCATTACTACCAAACATCGTGTTAGCTAATGTGGCTAATGTTAGCTCCTTAAGGCTCTGTTCGGGTTTACGAGCTCATCAGTAATAGAAACACGGTCAGAGCATATTGATCAGTGATTGGCGTTGGTGCTTCTCACCAGGACGATGATCTCGGTGCACTGGCTGTAGTTTCCTCGAGGCGCCCAGCTGCCGTTCACCTGACACTCTCTGTAGACCCGATCTGAACACAAACATCAACGCGTTACTGTCAGTACAGGTAAAATACGAGTCACATGACACACGAGTCACAGAGCTATAGGTTAAAAAATCTGATCCCACCCGTGCTCACAAAGTCTGTTTTTTCTGTCAGCCTGTCCAAGTAATGACCTGAGCCATGAAGCCTTCAGTCGAGTTAAACAGTTTTCTGACAGATGTGAACCACAGAATCCAGCTGCTCTCTTATGAAGCGCTTAACTATAACAACACGTCCTGATGTCAAACAAATGATGACTTTGTTTATGACTTTACAGCTGAATAAAGTTTTTTTTCCATTACAGCTCGTAATAAAGTGGTAATAGCAGGCTAACGAGGGCTAAACAAGAACGTAATACTGTGGTAATTTGTAATTTACTACCAAATTAGTACTAGTACCAAAGTTATTTGGTACTAGTTGTTTTGCATTTTTGCATTTTTGTACAGCACTTTGGTCATCGTTGCTGTTGTAATTAAATGTGCTATAGAAGTAGCAAATGTGGTAACAGTTGAGTAATATTACCCTGAAATGTATGTAACAGGACCCGAAAACTGGAGTTAATACTGTGGAAATAAAGACACTCCCACGAGACAAAACCAATTAGTAATAGAAGTAATAGTAATTTTTGAATTAACCCTACTTAGTCCCAAAAGGTTGCCTCTGTTCACCTGAGACTGGAGAAGCCACCTGATGATGATGAAAAGTTTCTCCCAGACGAACAGAATTAACTTTTGGGATTCCTTACCTAGATGAGTGAGCAGACAACCCTCCAGCCTTAGGTTCCTGGTATTCTGCTTTGCAGTAATGTAAATATTGTGTTTAATAAAAAATGAAGTTGAAAAATCTTTTTTTCATCTTTTTTTCATGCCTAAAGATGAAAAAAAACCTGATTGAGGTTGTTATAATTCATGCATGAAAAGGTTAATAATAAGTAATGATTGAATGCAGTGAGATGGTGTAAGGAGCTCGGAAAGAAAAGCGTCTGGACCTCTTTAAGTTTCTTGGAGACATTTCATTCGAGAAACTTCTTCAGTTCTAGTACCAGCCGGTGGAGAGACCCAGATATTAAGCCCTATTGGGACTTGTCCTTGTCCTGTCCCACTATTGATCACGTGCCTCGTGAGGTGGAGCACCAGGTGAACCAGAGGAAAGCTGCTGCTAACCCATTCACAGAAAGGTGGGGAATGGCTGCAATCACAGCATTGTAAGATCATGACAGATGTACCCTTAGGCCCCCTCCTCGATTCAGAGATGGTCTTTCCCATTTCATGTAAATGGCCTCCTTGACTCTGCCCTCAAACCAGCGTAGACTGCAGGGCCCTGGCCTGACGAGGTGGCTCTTCTGTTTGGTTGTTTAGTTTTCCGCGATGTATAAATCCTTGATTTAGATCCTGGAACTGACCTCCCAGCCCATTGTTCCTTGAGTGGGCTGGTTTCAGTCATTATGCAAACGTACTGTTTATAAGATTGAAACCTGCAGTCAGCTGAGACTGAAGAAGTCACCTGGATGAGTGATGAAACGTTTCTCCCACAAAACGCTACGTCCAGATGAACAGAATCAACTTTTGGAGACTTACTTTGGAATGTCTCTAACAACCATAAAGTGCCATATCTGGTCCATCTTCTCAACGATTTCCTGGTCATATCACCTCTCCAGCTCTTGAGGTATCCACCCTGAAGTCAATTTTCACTGAACTTGGCGTTCCATTGTCAGAAGAGAAACAGGAGGGTTTTTTTGGCGTAACCCTTGACAACATTTAGTTCCAGGCTTCTTTGTTCAGAGAAGTATTAATGTCACATTAATTGTATCAATCTCTTCCTTCAAAACTTTCTCCTTGTTCCCTCTTGTGCTAAAGGACTGCTGCTCTTCCTGTTGGACACCTAAACTTTCCTCTGTGCATAATTGCTACCACTTGCGGCATCTAAACCATCAGTCCTTGCCATAATCGCTCTGGCAACTTCTCGCTCACAGGAATGGCATCACTTTCGTTTTGATGATCAGTTGTCCCACCCTGACCACATTCAGCTCTAAACAGATGTTGCTCCTTCATCTATCTGCATTGGTGGTTATTATGGCAGAAGGTGGTTCTCTTCAAAATCAGCTCATGTCTAAGCCCCCATGGTCCGCTGACCAATTACCTCAACCTTAGAAAATTCCAGCACACCTCACCTTCAAAAACTGTTTATCATTGTGTTTATCCACGTTTCTACCAGATCCTGGTTTCTTTCACACTTTCATCAAGTTCTCTCATAGTCTGGAGTTTCTCCTAATCTTTTCTCTGGCCATTCCTTCTGCATCAGTGCAGCAACACCCGCTTCTAGCAAAGGAATCTCTGACCATGGGTAGGCTTGTAATGGGCCGGTTATTACAAACCTACCAATTGTATATTTGCAAGAATCTCCAAGACCTTTGTAAAGCTCAATTCAGTTCAATTCTATTGCCTCAAGGCACTTCATCACTACTTTTAGGGGGTTTCCTTCTTTGGGGATCCGCCGAGTAGCTGCTGTCAGTCCACTATGAGGCCTTCCCCAAACTGCAGCATCAGTTCACAATTCTTCATCATCTGTTGTCAGATCTAAATGAGGATGTGGTCTCAGCTAGTGAAATACCCTAGTTAGACAAGTAAACCAGCAGTGCTCTAATACGGTGATATAAAATGGTAAATGGCCTGTATTTGTATAGCGCTTTACTAGTCCCTAAGGACTCCAAAGCGCTATACACATTCACCCATTCACACACACATTCACACACTGGTGATGGCAAGCTACACTGTAGCCACAGCCACCCTGGGGCACACTGACAGAGGCGATATGGTACCTACAAGGTCATTAAGATAAGATGGGGCCTGATTATTTAAGACCTTGTATGTGAGGAGCAGGATTTTGAATTCAATTCTGGATTTAACAGGAAGCCAAAACAGGAGAAATCTGCTCTCTCTTTCTAGTCCCTGTCAGGACTCTTGCTGCAGCATTTTGGATCAGCTGAAGGCTTTTCAGGGAGTTTTTTGGACATCCTGATAATAATGAATTACAGTCGTCCAGCCTGGAAGTAATAAATGCATGAACTAGTTTTTCAGCGTCACTCTGAGACAGGATATTTCTAATTTTAGAGATGTTGCACAAATGGAAGAAAGCAGTCTTACATATTTGTTTAATATGTGCGTTGAAGGACATGTCCTGGTCAAAAATGACTCCAAGGTTCCTCACAGTGTTACTGGAGGCCAAGGTAATGCCATCCAGAGTAAGAATCTGGTTAGATACCATATTTCTAAGATTTTCAGGGCCGAGTACAATAACCTCAGTTTGATCTGAATTATTTAAATTAGGAACAGCATTTCATCCACAGTTATTCCCTCTGACATGTCTGCTCCCTGACATCGACAAACCAGCTCAGGTTCTGGATCTGGTTCTGGGTCCTCAGACTCACAGCTCACAAACAGAACTGGACCTCATCATCCATCGATATCTCAATCAATCATTATTAGAGAGAACTGATCAGAATCTGAAGACAACACAACCCAACTCGACTCCAGTGTAACCATGGCAACTACTGAGCTGTCATCAGGGCCTTACGCCCCTGATCACCCACCTCATCAGTGCACGCTGTGTTTGATTTACATCAGTCTGATCAGATCAATACATCAGTGCCCACAGACAGACGCTTTATTAACATGTTACCCGATCAGATGCCAAAATACATCAGAGGCAAGATTTTTCCTGTGTGTGAAGAAATTATGAAGGTCCAGTGAAACATGAGCTCCAGCTGGTCTCTCTCTCTCTCACACACACACACACACACGCACACGCACACACACACACACACACACACAGATGACTCATGCTATTAAGTTCGATTGGCAACCTAAACCTTTAATTAAACAGGACATTTATGCCACCCACACACACAGTGGATATAATGAAGACAGTTGGCACAGAAGAAGTCAGCTCCTCCTGGTATGGAGTGGGTGTTGGACGTCACTGAGAACACAGAGTGTGAAACTGTGATTGGCTGACACTTAATTGGCAGCCTCTGATTGGCTGTGGATAAAGATCAGTTGAAGACAATGGAGACAGAGTATATACTGTGAAAAACACGCCCCCTCTAGGAGAGAACGGTCAACAGCTCGTCGTTGCCCCTAAAGGTAAAAAAATAAACAAAAATCTAAATTTATGAGAGGAAAAAACTGCCTGTGTCTGAGAGAAAGTGTGTAGCTGTCGTCACATTCACACATCAGAAACTGTCTGTGAACGTGTTAGCATGATAGTCTCTGCATCTGAGCAGGTGACACTTACTGGTGGTGTTGTAGTGGATCCCGTTGAACTGCTCAGGACACGGTCTGGAGACCAGCTCACCTGCTGCACTCCGAGGCCAACAGGTTCCTATCCCATCCACCGACAGGTCACAGTACACACCTGCAAAGAGAGAGCGATAGGTGAGAGGCAGAAGGACCTGTAGGGAACTTTACTTCTTGAGACTCACCTTTGGTAAATATTATTGAAGTCTACAATGAAAGTTAGAGAATGACTCAAACAGGAAGCACCTCTTAATTTTCCTGTTGGAGTCTTAAACAGTACTGCACAGGTACACCTGAGAGTACAGCCATGGCGAAAAGCAGAGTACCTCATGGTGATCCTGGTGCTGGTGCTTGTCAAAAGTCAAAGGTGAGTGTGTGATACAGACCTGAGGAGTTGCTGACGGTAAATGTCTGGTTGAGCAGGACTAAGGTCCTTGCTGAGAGGCAGAACACAGAGAAGGTGTTGGCGCTCCGGTTTCACTGAGCACATCAAAGGAAATCCCAAACAGGAAGTTACCTGTGAAGTTGGTTGACAGCAGGATCAAAGTTTCGCAGGTTAACTCAGCCGGGGAGACTGGCCCGCTCAGCGCCACGCACACGAAGACCACCTGAAAGCAGAGTTTCGGTTCAGATCGATCACATGACCAGCGGTCGGCGATGATCCAGCTGAGCAGCGCAGTGTTCGTCAGCGTGTTTTCTGTGTTTTTGTTCTAACTGACTAATAATGTCTCATTTATATGATACGGAGCTCAGGATCCTCCTGTTAATGATGCAGCTGCAGTCCCAGAATGCACTGCATCGCCTCTGCGGCGATAATAGAACACAGAGGAGGAATGCAACGCTGCTGCAATGCATGCCTGGAGGGGACGTCCATTACAGCAGCGAGTCAGGTCGCTGAGCTGTGATTGGTCACAGCAACAACCAGCTGAGGTCAGCCATCCAATGACAAGTGGCTGGGTATCAGCTGGAAGAAGGAGGCAGATCACCTTCAGCACCATTTAGGAGACGATAATCATGTGACCGCAGCACTGCAATACCTGCCAAGTTAACAGCTGTCGTTACGCCTCACCTGTCGTTACAGGTGTTAATTCACTCAGACTGAACACCCTCCGAGGATACAGCATCTCATCTCACACTCAGATATGGAAGAGTCCACACACGCATCCTGTCTGTGTCCATTATTACTGCCCGTGATGAGTCCAAACAAACACGCACCGAATCAGAGGAGAAGGCCTTTCAGCCAGTCACAAAAGAGACGCCTCAGAGGCACGATCGAAGGACCTTTGTGATGCTGTGATCCTGCCTGGGTGTGACCTCTGACCCAAGAACAATGAGATTACAAGCTACTGCACCAGAACAGGAAGTGAAGTAATGAAGACTGCACCAAAATAAGAGACATAAGCCTGCTTCAATGAATGACTTTCATTTTTCAGATTCACAGTTTAGTGAAACTAAAGTGTTTGTCTGCAGAGTCAGAGATGCAGAAACGTGTATCACAGAGCCGTGACTCGCCCACGCCCACAAACACCACAGACGGGCTGAACATCGGACCGCCTCGCTGTTTCTCTCTGAATCTGATCAACTGCTGATCATTCACATGAGTTTTCCTCTTATTTCCTGTTGGCGTCCATCTTTGTTTTGGTTCTGGATGAACAATAACATGACAGCAACTACCCAGAATGCACTGCGATTGGCGAGGCCTGTTTAAATCAGTGGACCTGCTGCATTGGTACCAAGGTGGCGCTCTCATCGGAGCTATGTGCTGGGTCATGTTCTGTCTCAGGACCTTCTCTGAGGTGCTCTGTTTGTTTGGACAGCAGTAATAATGCCTGTGCCGACTACTTCATATCTGAGTGTGAGATCAGATGGTGTTTCCTCAGAGGGCGTTCAGTCTCAGCAAATATTCAGCTCTCACCTGCCTGTCGCTCATCTCTGCCTCTACAGCTCCAGTGATCACTGATCAATCAGCTCAGTGATTGATCATCAATCAGCTGCT